ACACTATTCACTGCACATACAGGTGCACTCACCCTGAATGCAACGACCGGAGTGCAAACTATGATGGTCGGAAGCCCTGCTACGCCAACAATGCCTCGATCATTGAACGCAGGCCACACATCAGCTGTCTTCACTGATGCTGTGACAACAGTTACAACCCCTGTAACTGGTACCATTATCCCCGAAGACATTCTCGTATATCTGAACAGCTTTCTAGAGTCTACCATTAAGCCATGGGTGCATGAAGCAATAACCGCTAATGCACAAGACTCTGGAAGTACCCCAGTTGTTCAGAATATACCATCCAAACCCCAGACAACACAGCCCTCAACCATTTCCATACCTGTCTCCAAACCCTTAACTATAGAACACCAACAACCATCCACATCAAGGGGAACCCAGGATATAGAACTAGTATTCTCCCCTACAACGACCAAACCTAACCTAACAACCGTACCCTTCGAGGATCTTGTAGCTGAGATCTACGACCGTATACTAGACGTGGAAGAAGGCAACCTCACCCCTCTTCAAAAAGCCCTTCTCCTTGCTCTAGATACACAGAACACTTGCCGTGACAGTCTCCGTGGCGCTAAACGTTCACATGAGGACCCTGATGATTCGGATTCTCATGAGGGGGAGAACAAGCGCCAGCGGATACTTGAGCATGTTGCTTCTACTAGCCAACCCTCAAAGCCAAACCAACCCTCTACCTCTACCAATGAGCAACCCACTACTTCAGCTAGCCATAAATCCCTAGCCACTCTCTCTAGCATGGTCGAGCTAGACATAACATCCCGAGGTGCATCTCCCATAGATGTTAACCAAGGACGGAATGGAAGTCCTGATGATGCTACCACGAGTACATCTTCTTACTCAGGCCATCAGCTAGAACCTCGAAACTGATGTCAACGGGCAATCCTGAGGATCCCGGAGTCACCCAGTCTCAACCAAGGGAGGATTGGCCGCATGTAACAAAGTATAGAGGACTGGTCTCTGCGCAAGAGCATCGTGTTGAGATAATTGAGGATCCCTGCAAGTCTCACCAGGATCCCGATGCTACGCCAGACGTGTCTCCACAGCAGCAACAGGCTTCCTCCAGCTACTACAATGATCAAATGCACGATGAACTTGAGGAAATGCTGGTGCATAACAAATGGTCTGAACTCTGGACAGATGTAGATGAAGCACAGCGAAGAACATACCTCAGAGATCTCTTAGTCAACTGCGCTACTGACGTGATTCTACTTGATCGAAACGAACTCAAGGAGGGAGAAAACTACGAGACACCACCCAAGGAGCTTGAGTCAATCATTAGACAAACAGCGGCTCAAATGCCCAGAAATGAGAAGCCCTGGGAAAAGATCGACATCAACGCCCCCTTTCAAGAAGAAATCAGAGAAAACATCTGGCGAAAAGAGGATAAGGTCAGAGAACTGGATGAACTGAAGATCTGTGGTCTTAACCATCTACGAGGACAAAACAAGGGCGGACAGCTATTTCTACTCAGTCATCACTATATGGGACAACAGAGAGAAGTCTGGTAGCACGAACTTCAAACTGCCAAAGACCCAGTCTGGGCTATTCTCAACGTGGGTGAAACAAACTCCCAAGACATCAAACTCTCTGTCTACCATCTACAACGGTCTGACGGAACAGAATTCACGTGCAAGGAAAATGATCTCTATATGCTAAAAATGGATGACATATATCAGATGTATCTTGCATTTCAAGAAATTCCGGGCACTCGTGACACAACTACACAAAATGGGCTGGATGCACTCAAGCGCTTTATGCTCAGACAAATCAAATTCTTTGCCTCTCATGATCTTCAGATGGCGCTTGAAACAAACATGCCAAAGACAAATCTCACAAAACCAAAGCTGTATGGACAAGAACTTGAGGACTTCCCTGAGTATTACATTTTTGATAGACCAATCACGCTTATCTATGTAAATCATAATGGTGAGAAACGTATGCTATTCATTGATGAAATCAACAAGTACTGTGACGGAACCCTGAAGATTGTGAAAGAAAAGCTGCAACCGATCAGAGAAGCATTCAAAGAAAGACAGCAACAGTATGCAGATGCGACAGATGCCGAATTAAAGGAAGCACACAGAATAGACAGAATTCTACAGGCTATCCAGAAACAACTTGATAAACGAAATTCACTCAGGAGCTATGAGCACGCACTTAATCTCAGAAAGAACTACTACAAAGCTCAGAAGTGAAGAAACCCAGCAAGACGGCACTTGACCACAAAGGGGGAGATTGTTAGAACTTTTATTGTGGGTCAAGTTTGTCTGTAATGTCTTGTTTAAATAAAGTAGACTAGTTATACCATTTATGGTATTAGATTAGTATTTATTATGTAGCAAATAAGGTAAAGGGAATAAGGCCCAAAAAGGCCTTGGCCCAACTTCCAAGGTTTACCTAAATCGGTAACCTGTACAGCGCCTATAAATACGCGCCTTGTGTACAGGTACCGATATCGATCAATACACATTAGCCTTACGCTGCCAAATTTACTTCTCGATACTACAGAAAGAAGGTTTCACTGTTCTCGATAAATCTTATATCATTATATGAAATCTTTCTCTTCTGTCTATCGATGATGTTCATCTAGCTGATCGTTAGTCTGCTAAACTGGGACCAACAACATCGATGCCCTTCTCCTGGCATCCCACCAGTTGAATCTGTCTTACCTCTGCTTCCATTGTTCTCTTCCCCTCATGCCCTAAATTCGGTACAAGCCATTTATTTCCCGGGTGGGTTCCCCCTCGACGCATATCTGCCCTCATCCACGGTCCATATGGTTTGTCCCCACCCAAGGTCTTGCATTGTTGTTCGAAGGACAATATTGTTGTTGCTTTTCACGAAGAGTTGGGTGCAGAAAGGTCCGAAAGGTGCCTGGTGTCGAGGAGTCTGGAAAGAACGAATAGAAGGCGTAAATTTGGAACACTAGGAAAAAATTAGTCCTATTTAGGAGTTAAAAAAGTCAAGGTCCTATTTAAGTATATACAGAAACTTGTGGTCCTATTTGGGGTCACAGAACATTGGTCTACAAAACCATAGAGTGGCTAAATGTGTGATTAGGCCTCCTATCACAATTTGCCTCTTGGAAGTTGCCACGTTGTCACGTTGATGAACTGATTCCACAAGATGAAGGCAACATCAACTTGATCTGTGCCATGTAAAACAACTTGTGCAAGAATACAAACATCATGTATCCTAGTGTGATGATTATTCGGTCTTCTGAGAAAGCAATTTGACAAAAATTTCAAGAAAATTCGGAAGACCGGATGTTGCATACATTGAATTACTAATGTTTCAAAAATTTCAAGAAAATTTCAAATACTAAAGTTTTAATAATGAATTACCCTTAAAATATTGAATTACCCTTACTTTTTATATTTTTTTATCTTCACTTTCATACATTAACACGATCTCTCTTACATTTTCTATGTTATTCATTACATCTACTACTTTCCTCCTTAAATATTGTCCCAAAGTCATATGTAGTAATTTTTAAAATACGGAGAGAGTATTCGTTGCTACCAACCGCTAATCACTGCATCTAGCGAATTATCGGTCACCGATTTGTACAACCTTGGATGTTAGCATTTAACATAACATATACTTCCTCCGTTCCTTTTTAATTGCAACAGTCAACATTTCACGTTTGCCAACACACAAGTTTGACCATTAATATCGTTCATTCCTTATTAGTAAAAAAATTAAAAAAAAATCATATTTTGAAAATTTAGAATAAGAAGAAGTTAACAATATTTTTTAAAAATTTAATGTATTATACATCAATTAATAAAATGTAGTCAAAGTAGAACATGTGAATAGTGCAAAAAGTCCAATGTTGCAACTAAAAGAGAACGGAGGTAGTACTATATATGCAAGAAAATACAGCAAAAAAAGTTTCATGAGACCCACTAATAACTGTACTATCGACTTATTTCATTGTGACGTGGAGTTATTGGTTACCTTATTGTTTATTTTAATTTTACTTGATTTTTTTACAATACAATTTTTCATTTTATTACAACTACTACTAAGTACTTCCTCCGTTTTTTTTAGTTGCAACAGTCAACATTTCACATTTGTCAACGCACGTCTTTGACCGTAATTATATCTTAATCTCTATTAGTAAAAAAAATTAAAAATCGGATTTTGAAACTTTGTAATGAGATGAATTGAACAATATATTTTTTAAAAAATAATTTTCATAAAATAATAGCGTAAAATTTAGTCAAAGTAGAGCTTGTGAATAGTGTAAAATTCAACATGTTGCGATTAAAAAAACGGATGATAGTATATACTGTAATTAGTAAAAGTAACAACACATAAACTTTATTGTCTTTTTTATTTGACAAAATTACATATTATGTACCATCATAAAACATAATTTCGATTAATACATTGTTCAATTCTAGATTATCTCGTGCATCGCACAGGTACTTCATCTAGCGATTGATTAAGGAAGAAATTTGAGTAGTGTGAAATTTAGAACAATGACCAAGATTCGAAACACGCAACGATTGTGTTACCCCTACTCCCCTTCAACTCCCATACCCCAAACCCTTACCCTACTCATATCCCCGACCCTTGTACCCCTACCCCCTTACCCCTATCCCCTTACCCCTACCCCCTACCTTGACCAGTAGGCTCGTTTCCCTACCCCATCCATTACTCCTCTAGGGTCAGGGTAGGGATATGGTACGGGTTCTGGTAGAGGTTACAGCTCCTACATGTGGGGCTAGGCCTCTAGTGCACACATGTATAAAGTCTATCACAATTGAGCTGATTGACACTTATACTATTATATGTCGGATCAAGATGTGGTGTGCTTGAGATAGAGCTGGAAATTCAACTGTGGGAACAATGATTAAACAAGAAAAGCCAAATAATTTTGGCACGTACGGAGTATTTATTTAAGAGAGTAGGAGTACGTTGGACTAAAAAAAGGCGTCGTACACCAACCCACGAACCTTTTTAAGAGAAAAAAGTGAAATCAATCATTCAACCCCAAATTAATTAGCGCTGAGCGATCAGACAGACGCGAAAATGATGGAGACAGGGTCCCGACGCCGCACTTGTCTTCTTCTCCTTCTTCTGATCACTATTCCCGTGCTGCTGGTAATAGCTGCCGCCGCACCACTTTCTTCTCAACAACAAGCGGCCAGCAACAAGGGGTTGAAAACTGCGACTTTCCGGTCACCGGCGTTTGAACTAGAGCCCGGATCAGTGGCAAACAAATACTTTTACAACCTGGGCTTCCCCAAAGGGCATATTGCAGTGAAAGGATTCGACGCAGAAGTGGTGGATGAGGCCGGAAACTCCATCCCCCTCCACGAAACCTATCTGCACCATTGGCTTGTGGGGAGGTACTACGTCCTGAAAGGCGGCGCGGATGAAGCTCGATCCGGTTACATTTCGGCGGGCAACGCAGGGTTCTGCCGCGGCCTCCCGCAGTATTTCGGGCTGGGATCGGAAACAAGGAAGACGGATACCCGCGTCCCAGACCCGTACGGAATAGAAGTGGGGAGGGGGGAAGACATCCCGGAGGGGTACGAGGAGGGGTGGCTGCTTAACTTGCACGCGATTGATACCCGGGGAGCGGTGGATAAGTTGGGGTGCGCGGAGTGCAGGTGCGCGCTGTACAATGTGAGCGTGGACGAGAAGGGGAAGGCCCTGGAAAAGGGTTACGTGGGAGGGCTGGCATGTTGCTATGACGGGACGAGGTGCCGGGTGAACGCCACTGAGGCTGCAGGAAGAGGAAGAAGACGACGCCTCTATCTCCAGTACACTGTCACCTACCTTAACTGGGATTCCTCCATTCGCCCACTCAAAATTTATATTTTTGATGTCACGGATTCATGGAATATGACCACTCCAGCCTCCCAAGGCCACCACTGCAAGATTGAGTTTGATGTTGACTCTTGCTCTGCTCAACTGCCCAATAATGATGAATTATGCATTCATACCCGAACTGCAATTTCAAGTTTGCCCATTGGAGGAGATCTCATTTACGGTGTGGCCCACCAGCACACAGGAGGGGTTGGCTCAGCTCTCTATGGGGAGGTATATACATATTTGCATATATGCCCGCTAGCTACTTACTCCCTCCGTCCCTTAAAGGTTTGCCATGTTTGACCGGCACGTAGAATAATAAAGTAAAAACTGTGTGGTAGAGATTTGTGCAGAGGAGAGAGAAATAACATGAGCCACAAATTGATTGATTAAAATGGAAAGTGACAAAGTTTTTGGGACAAACAAAAAAGGAAAGTTGGCAAAGTTATAAGGGACGGAGGGAGTAATTGTTTCATACTAGTACAAATCATTTCGCTAGCTAGTTAGCTCATAACCTATTGGCTCTTTTTCTATCGTCTCATTATTGCATTACCAAACAAAACAACAATAAGTCGTAGCTATGTCGCCTGCGCTACCTAGCTGGTACAGCCCCCAAGAAGCTATAATAAGCTCTCCAAAAAGTTGTCTGCATGCATGCCCTAACCTCAATTCGGCAGTGTGCATACCATTGATCAGGTTTTTGTTCATTAAAGCATGCGTATGTATCTCCAATTATTATAGGATGGACGGACACTATGCTCGTCGGTTCCGATTTATGGAAAGGGCAAGGAACCAGGGAATGAAGCTGGGTTCATTGTTGGAATGAGAACATGTTATCCTCAGCCTGGCTCCGTAAAGATTGCAAAGGGCGAAAAGCTGACCATTGTATCTAACTATAGTAGTACCCAGAGCCACACCGGAGTCATGGGCCTGTTCTACATTTTGGTTGCTGAACCATTGCAGGTACCAAATGTTACCATGTAACTCAATATATCAAAACTTGAACTCATTGTATCAATTCTAGACATTTATTCGAATTCATCTATTTTTTACTACTACTCCGTATTATATTAAGACTAATAAGGAATTTAAGTCATTATCATTGCCCCAGTGCCGCAAAGGTTTCGCACCGTGGGATAGAGGGTCGGATGTACGCAGTCTTACCCCTATACTAAAACTCAAAGACCGTTTCCAAATGAACTACAGTGATAATCGCGTCGAAAATTGCATAGCTGCTTCATAACAAAGAAGCGCATACAATTTAGTGAGCCACTTTGCTTTATGTCATCAAGCCAAAAAATAGTGAGTCTTTGGCTCCAATTGCAAATGATGGAAAATCTAAGGAATCTAAGTATATCTAATAAATTGAAAAGCTTTAATCAGATTTTAATTTTCGTACATATTTTAAAGTAAAAGGTCTAGGGAAAGAATATAGGAGGGAAGAATACTTGAGGTGAGTGGATATTAATGTTTTTTGCAACAGGCTGCTCAACTATTCTACAAAAGCTAAGATATCTAAATACACATGAGAAATGTTTCATAAACTATATTATGGGGGTGTTTGGTTAACAGCCTATCGGCCATATTTTGGCTGATTTGACCATTATTTGGCTTTTTGACCTGATCAAACAGTTATTAAATGTGCTTGATTAATGGCCTTTTCACTTGGCCTTTGTGCCTCAATTAGCCAAATTTAAAAAAGCCAATAAAAGTTGCGTTTAGCTTTGGCTCTTCAATATTTGTCATTATATTCCTATTTTACCCAGCGCTCCTTTCTCTTCTGATGATTTGCCCGGCTGGTTTCTCTTCGTATTCACCATAGCTTTTGCTGAAGAGTAAAATCTAACGGGCAACACAAGGCATTGGTGTATTTGTAAAAATCCTTCTTGAGTGGATGATATTTTGGGAGTGAACATAATGTTAACCAATATTGGATATTAAATTAAAAATACACGACCATTTTTTCCCACTTTAGAGATCAATGACTTCAATCGTTTTAGAATTTGTGATTAATATATATAGGGGAAAGATCAAGTGCAAAGTGTGCTTATTGTGCAAACTTTTGTACGATGCACCTTGACGTTCTTTGTATTGCATATTGACGTTTAAAGTGGTGCATATTATTCAGCCATAAAATAGCAGTTGCACATTAACGTTCAACGAGTTGCACCCTAAAAAAGTTGGGTTTTATTACAAAAATGCCACCTTGCCTTTATGTCTTTTGGATCAACTCATCGGACGATCAAGATGAGTTTGTAGTTTGTAAATTAAGGAGAGTTTGTATTTGATCTCTATTCTATATATATATATATATATATATATATATATATATATATATATATATATATATATATATATATATATATATATAGGGGATGGTTCGGGTGAGAATGATGTCCCAAGAGAGAAATGAGAATGAGATCCAACCATCAAATATATGAAATCAATGATCAAGATTGATCTTAAATGAGATCGGTACTTTTGTAATTAATTGAAACTTTTATGGGCGATACTAACCATATGATTTGTCGTATTAATGCTAGGGACAATTTAGTAAAACAGTTCCTAACATTAAATAACCGTCTCCACTATAATAAGGGCATATAATTGATTTTTATTTAATGCACACTATCCTATTGTGTCTTTCCATATTAATTGGAACGTACACACCCTAAAAACTGCTTTGATAAATTACTTTCCATGATTGGTCGGGTTTACGTAATGATTTAATAAATTATGTATAGATTACTTTGTTAAACATTTAACTTGATTAGCTTATATATAGAAGGTTTAAAAACGCACTTTAGTTATATAGTAGATGCAAATTTACTTAAATGTTATGCACTTTATGTGTTATGTACGGAGTAATATTTAGCTTGCACTTTCTACGATATTAAGCTACATTTTACCCATACTATTATGCACTTTATATGAAGTATAAGAGTATAAACTATTAATAACCACATGCATTTTAAATATATAAAAGTGCACTAGTATATCACACTCCCTAAAGTTCTAACTTTGCACATTTTTACAAAAATGAAATGCACTTTTATAATGTGCATTTTAAATATGTACAAAAGTGCACTATTATTTGACATTTTCTAAAATTTTACACTTACGCTTTTAATGAAATGAAATGCACTTTTTATTTACTTGTATTATAATGGTGTCTTCTAGTGTCACCTATATAAATATAAAATATAAAATAATAACGAATTAAAAATGCATCAAAAATTCATATAAATGTGCACAAATTTGTGAAATGACAATATTTTTAAATTTTGAAATGCACAAAAATGTTTAAGTAAAAGAGCATTGATAAATATTATTAAATATAAAAATATCTTACATTTCACAAATATGTTTAGGGTAAACATTGAAGAGCACGTTTAGATTCAATTGTATTGTTTAATGTATGTGTTTATAATTACTAAAAAGCAAAGAATAAACAAATAGACTCAAAGTAATATTTATAGAACCTATAGTATATTAAGAAATAGAGAAATTAAAAAGCGTAAAGTAAAAAATAAAACATAATCTGTAAAGTATTCCATATATTATTACGTAAAAAGTTGATGAAGATAAAATATAATAATATAATAATAGCACATTAAAGAGAAAAGAAAGGTTGACTACTGGTTGATGAATTAATTAATGGAGAGTTATTCGATGTTAAACTCCATATGGTAAGGTACAAGAAATGACATAATGGTCCTCTACGTGTAATTATAAATCTCTCAAAACAATAGTTGATCTAATGGTCCATATCTATTCTTATTTCTCTCCTAAGATGAATTTCTCACTTGAACCTAAATCTATATATATATATAGGGGTTAGTTCCTCTGAGAACACCCTCTTAGGAGAGTAAAAAAGAATAAAATCCTACCTTTAATTATTTCAATCTGATGGTCCAAAAAAATCCTAAACCGAAGACGTCTATCCATGATTTCCGAAAGAGATTTGACTTCTAAAAAGGAAACGTGCAACAATTTATTAATTCAGGGGCATAATGGTGAACCCCATTTAAGTGGTTTCCACGCACAAGCCACCATAATAGGAAGTAATCCTAACAATTAGGAGAATAATTAATACGGAGTAATCTCCCTCCTAATAATTAGGAAAACAATTCCGTTACACTCTCATTTTGTTTTACAGAAACGTGTGATTCCATTCAATTTGGTAACTAAATTACTTTTCGTAAATCTATTGTTGCCGCATTATTCTAGTGTCAAAATTTTTGCATTACAATTTTGAATTAATGCATTTTAAGGCTGGTTTGCAACCACTTTAAAAAAAGCACTTCTCAGCTTTTGGCTTAAAAAAGCACTTATTTACCAAACACTACCAATTTTTTATTTTTCTCGGCTTTCGTGTCAAAAGTGTTTTTCCACTTTTTATACACCAAAAGCACTTATTTTACCAAACACTACCAACTTTTACTTTTCAAAATCACTTTTTTCTCAAACACTATCAACTTTTACAAATAATCACTTTTTCCAAATCACTCCAAAAGTGCTTTTTTTAAAGCAGAAGCTGTTGCAAACACTCCCTTATTCAAAAACCTCATATACATATTCGCACTCCGCTATAGAGTAGCCGCACTTTTATTTACAATTTCAACCAAACAAATCTAATGAGAAATATCATTTTTATTATATTAATCTACAGATTCGTAAAGTGCACATTTAAGTTATTAACCAGCACTTTCTTTAAGAAGATCCTACACTATGCACATGCATTTGATCACTTTAATACATTTTTAAACCAAAATGATCTTAAAATGATCAAAACAAATATACAAGGGTGTGAGCAAACAACTATCATATGCATTTTAAATGTATAGAAAAGTGCACTTTAATGTATAAAAAAGTGCGACATTACATCACACTTTCTATAGTTCTACTTACGCCCTTATTACAAAATGAAATGCACTTAAATCACGTGCATGTGAAATATATACAAAAGTGCACTATTATAACAAATTTTATGCAATTTTACATTGACATCTTATACAAAATTAAATGCACTACTTCTTTAAAACGAGTCACTTTTTCTCTATTAGCATTGCATCGTATCGTATCTGCAAAAAAGTAAAAAATTAAAAACTAATGAAAGTGCATGTCCAAAGCTTGTTAAGTGCATAATACAAAGCTTAATAGAAAAGTGCGACATTTAATCACACTTTCTAAAGTTCTACATATGCTCTTATTTATTACAAAATGAAATTCACTTCAATCATGTGCATTTGAAATATATGCAAAAGTGCACTATTATAACAAACTTTCTCCAATTTTACATTTAGATCTTATACAAAATTAATGCACTTTTTCTTCAAAATGAGTCACTTTGTCTCTATTGACATTGCATCGTATTTGCATCTATTGAAAGTGCATCCCCAAAGCATGATAAGTGCATAATAAAAAACTTAATAGAAAATCATATTTAATATTATCTGGAAATAAAATGTCGAATGCATAACTAAATTAACATAAATACTTACGGTGGGAGCATATGATTCAAGAGAGGAAACATGAATGAGATTTATAGGACACTAAACACAAATAAAAAATACAATATGAGAATAACCTTGAATATGTATATGCACAAAAATCGAAAAGTCATCTACAACTTAAAAAATGCATATAATAATCATAGAAACCTAAAGAAATCACGCTTATCGAGAAATAATAATATAAAATGAAAAGAATCTTATCAAACCATATATCACTAACATGCGGTTCAGTGGAATTTGAAATTCACAATCTCCATTGAAATCAGATCAATTGGTAAGTGATCAGAATGAATACCTTCGCAGAACTAGAGAAGAACGACGCAAGATGAAAATAATTTGGGAAAGAATCATGTAGATTGTAGAAACGGTTTTTGGAAGGAAACATGTAGCATGATTTTATGCGTACTGTTTTGGAACGCATAAATGGAATTGGAATTGACTTCAATACCCTCTCTAATAGCTTAGGCAAACGTTTAATTAGAGGCTAATCCAATGGTTAAGATCTATTCTTTTTTACTCTCCTAAGATTAAGTTCTCACATGATCCTAATTAAGTGAGAAGTGCCCCTTAAAATGAAAAGTGAGAAGTAATCTTAGTCCTTGGATTTGCATTTGATCTTACAACGCAGTAAACTTATAGACTAAATATAAGAACTTATAACCAATAAATCATAACTTATAAAGCTCTCCATAATAATAACGAAAATGCCACCGCGTCAAAAAATTTTCCAGGTTTCTGTAATTATTTTTTTGCGGGTGGCATTTTTGTAATTATTTTCGAGAGGTCTATAAGTTATGATTTATTGGTTAAAAGTTTCTATATTTAGTCTATAAGTCTAATATCGCAGTTCTCAGCCTAAGAGCACTTCTCACCAGATCCGCTCCCTATATATATATATATATATATATATATATATATATATATATTACTTCTAATAGTTGGTGAAAAACAGTGTTTAAAATAATAATTAATAGCTTGTGTTAATACGGAGTACATTTTTATTTTTTAAATCATAAAATTGATTTAAATTGTTGTAATAATTACATTAAAAAATTGATTTCCTTAAAGGTCATTTAACACGTTATCAGCTGATTGTAAATAGCTATTTAACAAAACACCATTTTATAAACGGCTAATCCTATCAGCTAATCAAAACGGCCAACAGAATCTGCTATTATCAATTAGCTAATATAATTGGCCAACAACTAACAGCCAATTGCCAAACACCCCTACATGTTTTCATTTTAACTTCTCAAGTTAAAATAAGGAAATGTTTTGTCCTTGACATTTTTATCCGTGTTGGTATCATTCTCCATGTCCCAAACATGGCCTGACATTTTCTTTATACAAATGGCTTAATTCTGCAGACAGATGGGGCAGTGAACCCAATGTATGGTATTTGGGGTTTGTTAGCATTGTGTGGAGTTGCGGTGCTTCTTGTTGGTGCTGTACTTGTTAAAAGGAGTTGGGGCAGAAAAGATGGCTATGAATCTCTGATTGCTTGAGGTGGCATTGAATACATTGTCATATTTGGTTGTCACATAATTGTAATGGAATACCTTTTCCCCTTAATCAACCCGCTCTGTCTTTAGCTAGTATTTAGTATTATGTGATCAGATTCTTCGATCTTTTGAAGAAAAACTGTTCAATATTACTCTTGTGCGAGGAATAAAGCCTTTATGCCTGTTCGGGATGGTTGTAAGTTTTTTTTTTACAATTATAAATGTTGCGTGTAATATACGAAATATATATGGAGCACGCCAGCATGCTCACTATGGAGCACGTTGGTGTGATAAATGGTCCGAATTCTCTCACATTTTTAGAAGAGTGAATTATGGCCATCTATTAAGTTGGCGTGCTCTAGAGTGCATTGGCTTGCTCCATATATTTACTGGTGTAATACATGGCATAGATCAAATCAAAACTTTCTATACTTATTTGAAGGAAGAAGTGACATATAAACTTTCAAATTATATCGAAAAATTGAACCAAGCACTCGAGCCTTAAAAACCCCAATCAAGCTCGTAGAGTTTACAAAAGTATTGAAATGTCTAATTTAGCTGGTTAACATCCATTTAGGTGATTTCAATGTTTGCATGGATAGTCCACTTGGTGTACCAAGTGTTTATTTTCCCGTTTATATGTGTTTAGATTTACACCAAGTCCCACATCCCAAAGTTGATTGGGTCAACACTAAATCTGTCTATATCTTCTTCAATTGTCTGCCGAAATGCCATGTTCATCTACATCGCTGACGGAAAAGGTGTAGGTGTGACTTCTCTTAGCTTTGCTATGAGCCCCCGTGTACCCCCGATGTGGTTTGGAAGCTCTACTTTGCATTGCTAGATAGACTAGAATCATGTTTTATGATTGTAAAAGTGGAAGGTAATAACTTCTGGAGTAAATACTTTTCTTTCAACTATAAATAAATCAATTGACTTTCACAAGAGAATCCGAATGTATTTACCGGGAGATGGCTTGGTTATTTTATATGGTAAAATACACCGTACAGCCGGCTGTACCGTGCGCACGGTACAGCCGGCCCTTTTTGTTCTGCTGCGCACCACCCACCGCCCTGCTATCTTCCTTTTCGTCTTTTCTTTTTGTGAGCAACGATTTCCCTCTGCTGACTGCTGTCTCATCTCTGCTTTTGGAGGCCAATAGCTCATGAATTCTGCTAAGCTCAACTCGGTGATTTTCTTCTCCACAACTCCACCATCCCACCTCGATCGATCGATCGATCATCATATATCAACTGGTGTCTTAGGTTTTCTGATTTAAAATCAATTTCATCACAATCTTAATAACATACTAATATACACCATAACTCAATTTAATTACTTTACAGCGACAGACGACCTCCAAGCTCTAGCCACAACCTTAGGAGATGGTGATTTCCAGGAGTCTGCGATTTGATTGTAATTATATAGCTACTTTTGCTAATATGAGCATACACAATGAAAAGTTGAGCATATTAGATATTTAAAATAACATTTTGTTATTTTGTCGATGCTCATTGACGTGCACTTGTCGTGAGGTGCACTCAAAATAAATATCAATACGACACTAATACGTAGTATAGCGAAGTAAGGTTCGTATCCACAGGGAAAGGAATATTTCTCTTTTTAATTAACTAGTAACAAAGGGGGGTTTTTAGATTTGATTTGATTTAATTATTACTAAGATGAATGACTTAAATGAGTTTAATTAATGAGAAGAAGACTTGGCTTTGCTTTTATCTACTTAATGAAATGTTCGTCGATCCCAGTTATATCTTTAACTATTTTTCTCTCGAATACTCAATCGAGGAGTATATGCAGTTCATCGAGGGTAGTTATTAATAACGAGAAGCGTTCATTAATAAAACTTACTATCGAGTCAATATAGAACAAGCGCCGTATATTAACTTGATAGTAGCAATAACCATGAGATGAGATGAGATGCATGCATTAATAATCCAAGTTTACTACCATGAAAGGACCGAATTAATAACAAGCGTATTAATCGACCGATTCTAGTATTAATTAATATATGAAACAAAACTAGTTGATCCTTTAAGTAATGTTCAAAATATTAATATGAAATATGAATAAGAATTAATTAATACTCAAGAAAGAATATTAAAGAAGATGAATCCTACTATAGTTAATATCAAGATGTTAACTAATTGTCATCTTAGTAACACTCCCCAATATTAACGTAGAGGAAGAAATAATTATTAGTATAACTAATGTCAAGATGTTAACTAATTGTCATCTTAGTAACACTCCCCAACATTGATATAGAAATAGTATTTAAAGGAAGAATTAATATTCAAGGAAGAAGATTAAAGAGAATAACTCACAACTTACAAATTCATTAAGCTTCAAAGTAGCAAAACCAAGATGGAAGAGTTTAGTTCCTCATTTGGAGACTAAACATGATAAAAATATAAAGAAAGAACTCGTCTAAACTGAGCTTAGAAGTATATAGGAATTGGTGATTTATTGTGGAGGAAATGGGGTGTATTTATAGGATTTTTAGGCCTGCAGGGTCGTGTACTCGATCGGGTACATAGGGTACTCGACCGGGCCTTCAGTTGTTTTGTGGAAGCTGGAAAAACGTGGATATACCCGATCGAGTATGTCGGCTACCCGATCGGGTATGGACACTCGATCGTGGTCAAAATCTCCCCTGCATGTTGCCTTGTTCCCGGTTTGATCCGATTTAATTTTTCAGCGACTTACCCGATCGAGTATAGGTCATACTCGACCGGGTACAACACCAAAATTCAGGATCTTCATTTTTTCTTGGACTTTTTGCACCTTCCTTCCACTTGTGATGTTCACCAATGGTCCCTAGAGTGGTCTTGGACCTGTTTGAGCTCAGAATCAACCTAATCTAAACAATTTTACAAACTTTTTACAAACTAAACTATTACACCAAAAGTGTGTAATTTCTAGAGTAACAATCACTCAAAACTAGTCAAAAACACAAATATAAATATGGAAATAACATGAATGTCAACTCCCCCACACCATGGATCCGACCAGGTAACTGATGATGACCGATCGGGGGTTTCCCCAGGCTTTGAAAATATGATTTTTCCCTTATTTTCTTTTGAGAATTTCCTCCCATTCTCCCAAAGTTGACGTTCAAAATAAAAGAAAAGACAAAGAATGCGTACCTTAGCATGGGTTGCCTCCCAAGAAGCGCCTTAGTTAACGTCGCGGCACGACGTTATCTTTATTTCATTTTTGGTTTATGTGGGATCATGAACATCCCTTCGGCTTTCAATGGCCTTGTTTGGCCATGTTTCCATTTTATTTTTCAACCTTTTCCAGTAAGGCCGAATTTTTGTTCTCATTACCACTTCATCTGCTGGTGGATTTAGTTCATATTTTTCCAGCTCCCTCCCAATTAAAGATGATTTCCCATGTTTATTTTCTTCTTTTCCTTGAGAGATTGGGATTTTAACCGATTCCTTCAAAAACTTTGGTTCTTGTGGTTCAAAAACATTTAAAGAACAAAGAGATTGATCTTTAATTTGTTTTTTCGTAGAGTCAAAGATATTGAACTCTACTTTTTGGTCATCGAACTCTAAAGTTAATGAACCATTAGACACGTCAATTTTTGTTTTTGCGGTTTTCAAGAAAGGTCTTCCCAAAAGGATGGGTGTTGTTTGGTCATCATTTCCCATTTCAAGGACATAGAAGTCAACAGGGAAAATCAAATTTTCTACTTCTACTAGCACGTCTTCTATTATACCTTTTGGGTATGTATTAGATCGATCCGCTAGTTGAATCACTACACCAGTTTGATGTAGCGGGCCGAGTTGTAAGGATTTATACAGAGAGTAAGGAATGACATTTATGGATGCCCCTAAATCTAACAAGGCCTTAGAAAATGCGGTGTTCCCTATCTTACAAGGTATGGTGAACATGCCCGGGTCGCTACACTTTTCGGGAAGTTTCTTTTGAAAAAGAGCCGATATATGTTCACTAACCTTGACCTCTTGTTTTTCTTTTGACTTATCCTTTTGTTTTGTTTTGCATAATTCTTTTAAAAATTTAGCAAAACGGGGAACATTTTTAATTGAGTTAAGGAGCGGAATGTTTACCTCACACTTGGCGAAAGTCTCATAGATGTCAGTATCTTTCTCCAGCTTCCTTGTCTCCATCAACGCCTCAGGGAACGGGGCTACTGGTTCATACGATGAAAGTGGAGGAAGTTTCGCCTTTGTGGTTCTCTCCTCAGATTGAATTTCTTTGGGAAAACTATCAAATAAGCCCCCGAACTATACCGAAAAAGTCGATTAGGCCCTCGTACTTTACAAACACTCAATTAAGTCCTCGAACTATTAAAAAACGTTCAATTAAGACCTTTTGGTCGGTAAGTAATCGGTTTCCCGGTTAAATGTAACCCGTTTCCCGGCAGCCGCCGTTGCTGGGGTTCGAGCACATCGTCGCCGTCGTCACCGTTTAACCGGGAAACCGGTTACTTACCGATCGAAAGGGCTTAATTGAACGTTTTTTAATAGTTCGAGGACTTAATTGAGTGTTTGTAAAGTACGAGGGCCTAATCGACTTTTTTGGCATAGTACGGGGGCTTATTTGATAGTTTTCCCAATTTCTTTTTCATGATCAACCTCCTCAATCTCTTGGTCGTTCTTTTCTACCTCTTTCAACATGATTGCATTCACATGTTGTCTCGGGTTTTGCTCCGTTTGAGATGGGAGTTTACCCGAGTCTTTTGCTTCCAATCGGCTCACGACATTTGAAATTTGGCTAACTTGAGTTTCCAAATTATGAATGCTTGACTTTGTCTCATGTTGAAATTGAATCGTGGTTTGTTGAAATTGTCCCATGTTTTGTTGCAGGGTAACCATGTTTGAGGTCAAAGTTCGGATCATGTCATCAGTTGACATACTAGATTGAGAAGATGGGTTGGATTGTTGAGGGTTTCCATATCTCAAGTTTGGATGATCCCTCAATCCAGGGTTGTAAGAATTTGAGAATGGATCGTACCTCCTTTGCTGATGGCCTTGGAAACCCAAGGCATTGACTTGCTCTAGATTGTCTTCTTGAATAGTCGGGCATGAGTCCGTGGGGTGCCCTTGTCGTGTACAAATGCCGCAGACCTTGACTTCTTGGGTCTTGGATTTTAAAAGGAAATCCTTAACCAAAGAAGTCAAGCCGGCAACTTGATTTTCCAGTGATGATGTTGATTCCGCAGCGGCAACTCTACGGTTTGAGGACCTCCCATTGTAGTGTCTAGAGTTCTCAGCCAACTCCGAGATGAGATCTCTTGCTTGGGAAGGGGTTTTGTTGACAATGCCCCCTCCGCACGCTGCATTCACCATGCGGCGGTCTTGATCTACAAGACCATCATAGAAGTCGAGAATGAGGTCTTGCTCGGTGTATCCGTGATAGGGGCAGCTAGCACATAGCTTCTTGAATCGTTCCCAAAATTCATATAAGGACTCATCATCCTTTTGTTCAATGTTGCTTATTTGTTTCTTGAGAGATGATGAGATGGATGCGGGATAGTACCTTTCAAGGAAGCATTTTTTCATAGCCGCCCATGTGTTGATACTTCCCGAAGGAAGATAAAAAAGCCAATCTTTTGCGGTGTCTTTCAAAGAGAATGGGAAGGCCCTCAGCTTGATTTGCTCTTCGGTGACACCGTTTGGGCACATGCTTGTGCAAACGATGTGGAACTCCGAAAGATGTTTATTTGGGTCTTCTCCTCTTAGGCCATGGAAAGATGGCAATAGATGAATGAGCCCAGATTTTAGCTCAAATGTATTACCCTCATTGAGTGTAGGGAAGGTAATACATAACGGTTGTTGATTGAGGTTTGGAGCAG